AGTCCATGTATGCACCTTTTATATTCGCCCACACAATGCCTCTAAAAATGCAAAATTTCTATAAATTGTCCGTTTGCAAAGACAAGATGCATGTAGGAAAGGTGTACAAAACAATGTAAATCAAGAATTACCCTAAAAAAGGTAAACTCCCTAGAAACCAAGAATGACCCTATAAATCAAGTGGCTCATCAGAGACTATTAGGATTTAGGGGTGGTATAGCTAAGCAATATTCCTAATATAATTTGAATTTGTGCGTCTCAGATGTATAAATAAAAATGTCAAAGCTTAACTATTTTTACAAGGATAGAGAAAAACTGATGAGTTTAATGCACCAAATCTCCTCATGATATATAATTTCAACGTATTAGCTCTTTGTAATTTGAAAAACACATCAAAGTCAATGCGTCAAAACCCTCTCTGAGAACAAATTTTATAATTTGAAATGACTTGTCTTGATAATATGATTGAATTTGCAAGTAACTTTATTGAGATTTCTAAATTATACAAAAATACTAATCATTTTTTTATTTGGCAATTAAATTTGTTCATAGAGGAGGATTTGACGCATGAATAACTACATCATAGGAGGGTTTGACGGATTTTTTAAATCACAGAGACCCAGGGGCGGATCCAGAAAAGTTACAATGGGGTGGGCTAAGATTAAAAATTGAAAGACACATACATAATAAGACGCCAAGTCGTCAATATTTTAAATATTCATCAAAACATCATTTAAGTTGTGTCTCAATTTCAAAGTATAAAATTCATCAATAATAGAATCTACGTCTATATTATTGACAAAATCTCGTTCAATGTAGATCATCAATGAATCTTCACGAAAATCATCTCATTTTGTTACAACGTGCCATCTTGACTCTTGACATGCTTTATTGTCGAAAATGCTCTTTGGGTAGTAATGGTAGAAACAAATAGGGTCAAAACAAGACGAATTAATCTTGTCAGCATAACATAAGTATTTGATTTCTCACTCTCCGTCAAATTTTAAAAATAACTCAACAAGTGTCAATAATTGAGATGTCGAAACAATATCATGCTTGATCAGTTAAATCTGCAGGATAAAACTTTTGAGCAAGTTTACAAATATCCTCACTGTTAAATGAGCTGAAGGAGTTCTTGGGATCCAAAGCAAGACTAAGTTGAAGAAGTTCCATGGATATATCATTAAAGCGTGTGCCTAACTCAATCGAAGTAAAATCAATCGCTTCATAGAAAATATCAAAATGATAATGATGTTTTGTTGGGGTTGGAAACGAGAACGCCCAATCTTATATGGATCATTCAAATTTAGAACATCAATATCATTTGAAGAGCAAAAAATCTTGACTTCCTTAAGAAATTCCTCCCAACCGGATGTCCTTAACTCTTAAAGGATAACTTTAGTAATACCAACAAATGTAATAGCACTCAAAATATCAAGACTTTTTTTTTGAAGAACCTGGCAAATAGCATCAGTTATCCTCAGAAGTTTAGGCATCAATGGTAAGACAAACACGAATTCAAGTCTTGTCACTTTTCCATAGGTCCCGAGAATCTCAGTTTTAGATCTTCCATTCGGAGAGTTCTCAACCAAATGTTCAAACACTTTGCAAACTGCGGCATACATGTCTATCAAACTCTTCACGGAGCTATGGTGAGAGCTCCAACGAGTAGATCCTGATCGTTGCAAATTACGAACTTGATTTGCACCACATCCCAATTCACGCTCCCCGATAGCTAATAACTTACTCAATTTCAATTCTTTGACACACGTGCAACTCTGATACTTGCTTTAGTGAAAAAGTAATAATATTACCAATATCATCCAAGTGAGAGAAAAATTGTCAAATTAAACTATAATCCTTCGCTGCAGAAACCAGCCCAAGTTGTAAGTGATGTACAAAACAATGAATGTAATATGAATAAGGACAATCTCTACTAAATAATGCCTGAAAGCCATTTCATGAACCTCACATATTACTGCCACCATCATACCCTTGGCCTCTCATTTTTAAACTTGGAGATCATGATGACCAAAACACATCGTATATTTTATCTTTCAAGGTTGTTGTTGTAGTGTCACCAACACTTCTGATGGCAAAGAAACACTCTGTAGGAACTCCACCACTGTTCACAAACCTTATAATAATCGTCATCTGCTCCTGTTTAGATATATTTTGTGCTTCATCAACAAGAATGCAGAAACAACTATTTGCAATTTCTTCGCGAACCATTTGACGAACTCTATTCATCATTATATTCGAGATCTTTAGAATCTCAGGAGCAATGTACTGAGCATTTCCGAAGCATTCTCAAGCACAACTTCACGAACTTTGGTATTCATACTCACAAAAGCTTTCACTAGTTCAATAAAATTTCCCCAATTTGATGATGTTAGAGATTCATCATGATATCTAAAGGCGCAACCTTGAAGTGCTAACCATCTAAAGTTATACGATTTTTCTCCTATTCTTGTTGCGATTGTACGTGCAAAACATTATTAATTGGTCAGATGGTTTTCTCAAACTTTCAGCTCTTGTAACACAACTAATATGAGGTGATAATGTTGTAGTACCAATGTGCTGAAGAAATGCAATCTATTTCCTTGATTTATCCTCTTCCAACTTTCAAATCCTTCGTTAACTAGTGCATAAGTAGTATGCATATGTATGTCACTAAAGCAAAAAAAAAAAGCAATAAAAAGAACTTCAACCAATTAAACTTGTCAAACCATTGTTTCTGAAACTTCGATTTTAAGCCCCAAACTTAGTAACGGGATAAGTTTCCATTTTCAATTGATAAGGCCCAACATTTAGATATGCACGTCTCACTTCATCTTGTACATTGACATGATATTCATTAATTTGCTTTCTTTTTCCCGGACTCTCTCAATGGAAAAAGATGGAGACAACTCCAAATTTGAGATAGTTTGAATTTCAGGACTTGGGCTTGCTGAGGAACCTCATTGAGTAGATCTTATACTATCGTAGGTATAGGTTTAAAACTCCCTTCACCAGTTTGACGATTCACTTTCAGAAAGAATGGTGATATCAACTTCTTTTCTTTCTTGGCAATATGTTCATTATCCATTCTAAAAAATATTTTCAATATTGGTATATATTAAAATACTTCTATGAAAATATATACTCTCCCTGTCTCGAAAAGGTTAACCAAAGTTGACTTTCATGTGGAATAATAAAGTAAAAACTGTGGTTGATATTTGTGCAGAGGAGAGAGAATTAACTTTAGCCACATATTCCTAATTTTAAATGGAAATGATAAATCTTTTTGGGACATCCAAAAAAGGACAACCTTTTCGGGACAGAGGGAGTAACTATTAAGGAAAAAACAATCGTTGTACATAAAACTAATAAGTATTCTCAATTTCAAAATTCAATTGGAATTTTCAATTCTTTCTTACATTCCCACACAATAAATAAATCATTCTCTAATCTTCAATTGTATAATAACTAAATCATTTTCTATTCTTTAATTCTCTCTTCAGGCATTATAAATGGGTTTTTTACATGAATATTACTAAAATCAAACTCATTTACATAAATATGACTATTCATTACTACAACATAGTGTTGTAGTAACTTAAGTTCAAAACTTGAACATGAATTACTATGATTTCATTACTACTCTAGTAACTAGTCATATTTTTGTAAACCATCTTTATTTTAGTCATATTTATATAATTATTTCTTTTTTATTGTCCTCCTTTCCCTTTAAGGAAAGTTTTTGAGAAAATACCTCCACTTTTATTACTTTTACCTCACTTACTTTTTATAAACTACTTTCTCTTTCTTACTTTACCATCACTTTACTCTTCCTAATACACTCTCTTTCCTACTTTATCATCACTTTACTCTTTTTAATATACCATCTTTCCTGATTTATCATATACCCTACACACTCTATACTTACCCTACTACTTTATTATTAAATCTCGTGCCAAACCCTAAGAGGACTAATAAAAAAGAACGGAGGGAGTATTTAATTATGTACTGAAAAATTCAATTAATAATCAAATTGATTCTCTAACCCTAAAACTCTAAAAGGCTAAAAATAATAATACACAATAACAAATTAACACCAAGTCACTTAAAATAATAGATTCAAAATCTAAAAGGGAGTTACAAATAGAGTTTACCTGGAGCAGTGGCCAATGAAGCTGGAGGCAGAGCCGCGGGCAGAGCACAGAGCCGGAGTCCGGAGAAGAAGGACAGACGATGCAGATCCCTGGACGCGTGGACGTCTTCGTCACAGTGTCGCAGACTAGCAGCTCTTCATCACACGCTCAAGCTCCTCTGTTCTTTGCAGTTCAACTTTCCTTCTTCAAACTTCTGTTCTTCGCACTTCAGCTTCGCGTGAAGTAACTTAAGTGGGCTATGGGCTGCGCTAGGAATGACTTTTGGAGTGGACTGAGAATTAATTTTGGAGTCGACTGATAAATTAAATATATACTTATACTAACTAAAAAAATTGGGTTGGGCTCCTCTCACTACCATCCGCCCCTGCAGAGGCCTAATGCGTTGAATTTATATTTCACGAGTGGGCTTGATCCATTAAACGCACAAGGACATTAGAGTTATGTAATTCATGTTTGTTTTTCAGAAAAAAATTGACAAGGGGAGAAAAGGAAAAAAGGCGCCAAGCAAGTATTAGGGAATGAAAAGACGGAGTAGTAATAATACAAAATGACATGGACCTAGGATGTTTTTACTTGGACTGTAATTGGCTGGTCTGGTAATATCTGGTCTTTTCTGATCTGAACGGGTAATGTGTGGTCTCTTTGTATTTTTATAACTATTCAAGTCTGGTCTAGTCTGTTCGGGTCTTGATGGATTACAGTCCAAGTAAAAACATCCCTAGTAAAAAACACACATCTCCTTTTCCTCCCCTGCGTTCAACCTCCAACCAAACAATTCATCAACAAACTTTGCAATGTAAACGTCATCCCCCCGCTCACCCTACCCAGACTGGGAACAAGAGACTCTTTCATAAATAAAAGTACATTATAAAAACACACAGGAATGTGCCAAGGGTGAGGATTGATGGATGATGCATTGGAAATTCGCCCCTACTAAGGAGTTGTACCATTAGGCATCATCGCCCGTACAGTTCTTCACCTATTTCATTTACAAAAGTTTAGAACAAAACCAACCTGAATAGACTATATATATCCACAAGTTTAGCTGTTAGGTTCAGCAGCTTCCACATTACTATAATCTTCTCCATTAACAACTTTCAGCATCGTGCGCATTCTCACTGAATGCCACAAATTACCTGTCATGAGAAACACTGTATTATTTAATATCTACAAATGTAGGTCCCACTTTTTGTAAATGATAATGATACTCAAATTCGAAAACCAAAATTGCAAATTCATACTGGATGAGGAGAAAGCTAAAACAGATACTCAAATACCTTTCATCCACCCATTGTAGAATTGTATAAATTAATAAAATAGCTACCTCTTGTAAAATAAAATGCTTCACCCTCATAAATAAATAAATAAATAAATAAATAAAGCCACAAATAGCCCACATTGTTTTAAATGGCTGGGGGGAAAATCGATCGTAGTTTACAATTACAAAAAAAGGGAAGCCTAAGTTACAGTATTCCATTGTTCATACGTCAAACATGTATCACTAAGGTTAGGAAAGTTACAACGAAAATGCCAATCAGTGACAACCTCAAATTCTTTTATAGATTTGACAAAGTTAAATCATGGTAACTAAGTTTTGTTAGCATTTGACACACCATTCTCAACTCTCCCATCAAATCCATGATATGGAACTTCAACCATAGGTCTTGGTGTTGGGCGCCCACCAAATTCTTGTGGAAAGCATTCAAAATCAGGGCCAAAGTTGAACTTCACGACACAATTAGGTTGGTTGGGAAGTGTGTACATTGAAGCAGCAGGGTAGTAACGACCACCATAGAGATCCTTAAAAGCAACTCCTTGACATATGCCATTTTTGAAGAAAGATATCTCACTCCCTGTTCATTCAAAAGCAATACATTGTCCTGACGTTAGAACAAACCTCATGTACAATAACAAAATAATAGGGACCGGATAAATGGCCAAGTGACCGGGTTCCAGGTCGAACTGGCTGGTCCAGTCCGATTCTTAAAACATAGATAACAAAATAATAGTATGTAAATGATTCTCCCTCCGTCCCATATAAAGGTTCTTGTTTCCTTTTCTGGACGTCCCCTATAAAAGTTTGTCTTCTTTTTTTAGGAAACAATTAACACTCTTAATTGACAAGTTGTCATCAAATATTAAAAATAATACGGAGTACTTCAACAACATCACAGGTATCACCATGAACCCCATAATATTATATACCTATCAAATTTATTTCTCAAAATATACTAGAACTATCATATTTAATTATTGTCTAAATAATCGTGTCATTTTGCAATGAGAACCTTTCAAAGGGGCAGAGGTAGTAAATCATTATTATATTCAGATATAAATGTGCATGAGGCAATCTCTTAGCATTTATTCAACACAATTGGATTAAAAAAGATATGCGGCAAGAATTGAGCGCTAAGATAATAGCACCCCACCTGGGTTCTGATCGATACAACAAAATAGGATTTTGAGAGAATTGTTAATCCTTATTTATTTAGTTTGCAGCCATAACAATAACATAAGTTTGAGCGGAAGAAATACCAGTTTAACATCACAAATGAAGCAGATACTAAATTAATTGTTTAAACTTGTCCTTCGGTCCTCCCTGCCCTACATAACGACATATTTATTTGAATGAATCTTTCTTCATCATTTATCACCTTAATCCCAATTAGCTCAGTCAATGACATCATAATTTAAACTCTCACCGCTTCTTTGTTAAGAAGTGGCAGTTAGTACATGCAATTTTCATCACGAATTTCACTATGGGTCACTCGCAAACCGTCTCTTTTTTAGTACAGGGGTAAGACTGTGTACCGACCCCTCCTTATCCCACCGTAGGTGGGAGCCTTTGTGGCACTATGGAAATGATGATGATGAAGAATGACATCATAATTTAATTAATTCATGCACAAAACATAGTAGCAATGTGTTATGCAGGATGTGTTTGCAGTCACAAATCTTTTTTCCAAATGTAAACATTTTAACTGATAAAGTAAAACTGTAAAAGGTTAATTTTACAAAAGATCTTTACACATGGTTATATTTAATCAAACAGGTCAAATCAGATACAACATCCCACTAACTAATCACCAATCCACAAGCAGGCCCAGCGAAACAAAGATATGATGCAACCAGAAGGAGAAACTTTGCACACTGATAAAGCTATTATTATGCGACTTCAATGTCACGAACACATGTTGCAGAAACAACCTCTAATATAAATAATTTATAAACATAGTTTCATGGCGTGTAGCGGCAATGATGGCAATGAGCCAGTTTTCCGTGGAGATGACACAGTTATGGCATCGCCACATGACAAATTCTAACCGAAACACACTTAGGCAAGAAGTTCACATAGTAAAAAAAATAGCTAGATAAAAACCATAATTCAAGGCCTACAAAATATGTGATTTTGAAGACTAGGTTTTAAAATATATCTATTGTGGATAGACATAAAAAAATATTTGAGGATTAGATTGTAATAAAAACTATATATAGTGTAGAGGAGGAAAGAGTAATGCGAGGACTTCATAAACAACACTATGTCTCCTACACTGGCAAAGAAATGAAGATACCTAGAACTGATTCGATACGAGGACATCGTAAATATCTCTCTGTCTCGTAAACTGGCAAACAAACAAATAAACCTAGAACTTAAATACAATAAGTCAAAAAGGTAGCATCCCTATTTCGAGTTTCAATCCTGACCCTCTGAAGATTTTTTCCCTTTTCTTTTTCCTTTGAACTTCCTAGACGGCCTGTTACCTGACCGGCTGACCTGGCGCATTATCTTCTTGCTCTCGCAGATTGATGCAGCACTTTGATCCGGCATTTCAACGGTCAGAATAAGCTGCCTACAATCTAGGTCAGATTTGTGGTGCATATAATGTGGTGATGGCGCAAAAGTGGTGCCACCTCATGTATGTTGGTCATCACTAGCCATAGATTTGTGACTTTTTCACACCTTCAATCCAGTCATTACCATCACAAATCCATTTTAAGTTACTCGCATTGCAAGACTCCCTCTAAACACTGAACACTTGCCATGTTGCTCCTTGCCTCCTTAACAGCAACAGTATCTGAAGCAAATCAGGAAGCTCCCATAAGTCCATAACCTTGTCTTGGCTAGCCTGCTACACTCACTCTCATATGAACCCCTTCGCTGTAAACCTTGTCTTTTCTAGTCTTGTCACACATCTATAGTAACATTTGCATACCCGCCGACCGCCACACTCATAATCATCATAAACCATTTTTTATTAGTTCAACATTCGGAACTTAAAGTCATGATAAAGGTCCTATAAACTTTTCCTGCAGTCTTAATTAAAGTTGGATTCAACTCATACTGCATTTATATCACTCCTCTCACCGACTTACATTGGTCATGTGTGTAACTCTTGAAACAATTGCTTATGGGAAACTCTTTCTCATTCCATTCCATTCCATTCCATCCTGTTTTGTTTTTATGATCTTTAAGGGTATTAACTTTACAATTTACATACCTCTACTTCGACTTATTCAAATTGTCAAGATTCTATTGGTGTCTCTGACAGGGCCGGACCGTAGTACAGGGCCGGACCGTAGTACAGACCCAGGGGGGCGGTCGCCCCCCCAACAACAAATGTTTTTAGTGTATATATATAATAAAAAATAATTTTCGCCCTCCCAAAAAATATTTTGTTTAAGTTACCACCCTCCCAAGACAAACTTCCTGGGTCCGCCCCTGGTCTCTGAATCCCTTCTTTGGACTTATCAACAACATGATGTCATCCACCAACAACGTACACAAGAATACCTCATTTCAAATAAATTTAATAATCATAGCAAACACATCCATGATGATTGCAAATAAGTCAATATTGGTGCTAACACATGATGTCGCCAACAACATACATATCTTTGCTCGAATATATAGGTATAGAAAATGGCCTTTATGCCTCAAATCTCAATACATATCTTTGCTCGAATATATAGATAGATACAAGAAAGCCAGGTAACATTATCTGGAGTAATTCCATGACATCATTTTATGGAATTAGTTCTTGGAACCTTATTCAACAAAACTATACTACCTCCGTCCCACTATGTTTAGTAAAAGAGGAGGTGGTGTCATTATTCAGAAAAATGCATTTACGCGGTTGATATTGAATTGATAACGTGAGAATAACATAGGAACGGTTTATAAACACGCATATATTACCAAATTTGGTATAGGACAATCTTAGTGGGATGGACCAAAAAGGAAAAATGGGACAATCTTAGTGGGATGGACCAAAAGGGAAAAATGGGACAATCTTAGCAGGACGGGGAGTGTAATATGTTAGTCAAATATGAAAAGACCAAAGTGCTGGAATGCCCTAAACGCCTAGCAATATTATTGAATTATTCTCAAATAATTACAACTACAATCTTTTTGAAAAAACAAAACCTCTTTGCATCTCATAATGCTTGGAAAAATGTCTTTTTCATCTTCTGTCATTTTGCTGTTTTGCACATCGGCTTCATAAATACTTTCTTGAATAGATAATCTCAAATATTTTTACAAGTGAAAAAAGATGTCACAATTGCCAACTTAATACCAAAAGAAGAATGAAAAGACCATTTCTTAGAGGAATCAAAGTTATAAAATTTCTAAAGAAACTGAGGCTTTTAAGTTTTAACACACGCTCTATTAAAAAAGGGTTTTGTTTCAAAACAATTTTGTCCCAAGAAGATTTATGTAGAGAGAATAGAGAATTAAACTAAAGTACTAGTGTAGTCCCCGAAAAGAGTGCCAAGTGCCAAACATGCCAAATATGAAAATTTGGGCTATAACCCCATAAATACAAAATTACAAGTATTACTAATGACTATAAAAAATAAAATTGCAAAATTTGAAGTTGTAACTTTTGAAACATGGCTTTTTTTAGACAAAGATCGTATTGTATTTTTATTGTTTATTGGCCGTTTATTTCTATTGCCTAGTGAAGGTTTACTGTGCATTTTAAGGAAGAATTGAGACTATAAGTCACATAATATTTTAGACATGTAATGTTACAGGGAGTATAGTTTACACAGAGTAAGTTGTTCAAGTATGTGGCCTATGCCCTCGTAGTTACTTGATCTAGGCAGAATACCCTTTCCTGAGAAAATAGATAACTTAACTGGAGCAAGTTTACAAATGGTACTTAGATCTAGCTATTCATCAACGTCCTCAATAGTTCAAAACCTCTAATGCATCTTAGCAATTCACACACAGCATATGGTGTGCACAACATGAGGTTGATTATGTTTTTTCATCAACACTTGTGCACAAAAACAATTGTTACAAGGTAATGCTAGTATAAAACAAAAGGATTCTCAGCATTGATCCAATAAAGTGCTGAAGGCAAAGAAATAAAGAGCCACCAAGAACTAAGGAATTGCAAAAAAGGATGGTCACATGGAACCTCCTTAAACAACTCAATATGAAATTTAGTCATCCTATATAATAAGCAGAAGAAAAATAAATGATAATTGAGAAATGGCTTACCAGGAACAACTTTGGGGGGGTCCTTAGGGTCAGCTGTGCACATGTATCTCTGTCCCTTGTACCACACAAGCCTGGGAGGATTAGGCGTATACTGGCGCCCATCAGGCAAACTAATATAAAAACCGAGGACATCACCTTCTCCATATCCTTCATCCGCATACTTCTCTCTAAGTGCCTTGTGAACTTTACTGCCATCAATATCTCTATAGCCAAAGCTATTCCCATCGTATCCAACAGGAGCCTGAATGTCCCCTTTTTCAGTTGACCAACCAAGCCGTGTATGCCCAGTTTCCCCCAAGTTCATCACCCTAATCTCAAAGTACCAAGCCCCTTCCTCCACTCCCCTCGTGGCCCTTACCATTCTATACCCCTTTGTACTCCCGGCACTCAATCTATCCTCACTTAGATCAACTTTCTCTGCCTTGAAAGCTTTCGAGAGGCAGATTTTCATCTCCTGTCCATCATCATTCTTATCGGGGAACCTAGGTACAGGTGTGATCAACACCTTGTCCTCAGATTCCTGTGCATCAACATTCTTCTTGTTTCCATTATTGTTACCGTTACTTTTGTTCTTCTTCTTTCCCTTTCTAGATGCAGGCTTCGTCCACACGTTGTTACCCTTCTTCTTAGATTTTGACTTCTTGCTACTCTTCGAAACTGGTTCTTTAACCTCAGTAGTAGGTTTAGTTTTGACAGATGGAGTATCCAAGGGAATTCCGGTACATTCCTCCTCAGCCAGCTCTACAACGGCTGACTGAGTCCGAGAGGACGACGGGAATAGTTTATGCTTCTTCGGAGGAGGCTCTTCGTCTTCATCATCATAACTTTCTTCACCATCTTCTTCATCCGTTTCATATGATTTGACGAGTTGCGAAGACGATTTGCGATCTGTTTCCGAATTATAGTAATCTGATGCGCGTGGCGCCGGAATGTCAGAAGCGGTTGCTTCTACGTCGAAGGTAGATGCAGATGGTGGTTCCGTAGTGGGAGAATCGCCGGTGACCGTTGCCGTGGCTGTGGTGTTGAGGGAGGATTCATTGCTCTCATCCTCCGTGTCTCTGTAAGTTGCCCTCAGGTCTTCCATCGGACTAGTAGAGATTGATTTTACGTCAGTTGCAATCGTTTTATTATAGCACGACTGGGCCTGGGTCCGATCGTGGGCCGATATCCATTCCCCCACACAATCCAAAAAGTACTCAATCATCTTAACATTAGTGTAAACATCTGTCCATGATTTGGACCGTTTTCAGATAGGAGCACGTGTTTCATTTTCTAATAAAGTGCGACATGTGCTTCAATTCCGTTATCACAGCAGGGGTTTCATGACGTCTAGCGTCGTTCAGAAAATGTAACCCCGATTTTTAAAATTCTCCGAAACATTAAAAGAAAAATACTGAGAGGTGCGCCTTGTTAAGGAGACCAACAAACTATCGTTCTCTTTGAATTTTTCGGCTCTATTTGGATTATTCTTTAAAAAGGCTTGAATAACCGTCTTTAGAAGAACCTCCCTTCCTGCCCAAAAAAGGAACCTATTATTCCAGATTTGAATCCTCTCGATTACCCTCTTGTCTCAAATAATTCAAAATCTCCCGTGTATTCAGCCCAAAGAGAGCCGGCAGCCCCAAATACTTTTCATCTGCGGTCGCGGGCCCCAACCGCGGGCCCCAACCAAGAAGCTCCACCAACCCCTCCCTAGTGCTGGCCAAAACATTAGAGCTGAAAAAACCTTAGACTTATTAAAATTAACCACCTGTCTCGAGGTAGCTTCATAGTTAAGAAGGGTCTCCTTAATAACTGTAGCCACTCCATGGTTAGCTTGAAAGAAAAGCTGACAATCATCAGGAAAAATTAAGTGAGATAGCTGTGGTACTCCCCTAGCTAGCCACCACTACTCCATGAATGCGCCCCATACCATCGTGCCTCATGAGTAAAGCACTTAGCCCCTCTGCAATCAAAATAAACAGGTAAGAAGATAAAGGATCCCCTTGACGTAACCCTCTAGAGGGAATAATTGGCCCTATTTCAGTGTCCTCAAAAGGGATAGAGTAAGTACATGTCGTCACACACAACATAACGATTTTAATCCACCTATCAGAAAAACCCATTTGCTTCATCGTGCCCTCCAATAACGACCACTCAACTCGATTATAAGCTTTGCTCATATCCAATTTTAAAGTCGCATAACAAGTCTTCCCTTGAGTCTTACGTTTCAGATAATGTTTGGATTCAAAGATAGTCATGACATTGTCAATAATAGATTTACTAGGAATAAACGCACTCTGTTGCTCAGAGATACACGTGTAAAGAAGTCCCTTTAATATATTAGCTAAGATTTCAGAAAAAATCTTGAACACAACATTACAAAGTGCAATCAAGACTATGTGAGTACTGAGTATGATTAATTCCATCTGAAGTAGTACCCAACCCAAAAATAGACTGACAAAGGGACATTACATCTGGCCCAATAATATCCCAAAAATGCTGAAAAAAGTCAGGGCTCATACCGTCAGGACCAGGAGATTTATCAGGATACATTAAGAAAAGAGCCTTCTTGACCTCAACATTAGATACGGGTGAATAAGGAGAGCATTCCGGTGCTCCTCAATCTCGTGGTTGACACAGTGAAAAATATGGTCTCCATAAGAAGAGGAAAAAATAAAATAGGGAAAATCGCATATATGATCCCTCAGTTATCCACGAAATTAAAATCTCATCAGACCTGTATTTCTGAGATTGTAAATGTCACCTCTCAATTGTCCAAAATGTTGTAAATGTGGTCCTTTTGAGGGGTGAAATATACAATGTGTGTGAAAGTGCATTTCACTACTTAAAGGACCACATTTACAACATTTTGGACAATTGAGGGGTGTCATTTACAATCTCAGAAATACAGGTATGAGATTTTAATTTCGTGAATAACTGAGGGACCATATATGTGATTTTCCTAGAAAAATATCATTAAAATAATCCCCGATCAAGCTTGCCAAGTCCCCTCTATCACGGACCCAGCTCCCATCCGCCGCCTTTAGTCCCTCCATTTTATTTTTCCTCCTCATCATCACCGCATTATGAAAACATCTAGTATTAATATCACCTCCACGGTACCAAAACTCTTTAGCCCGTTGCTTCCAATAAAGATTTTCCTTCTCTAACAGTGACAAGTATTCGCATTTGACCCTGTCAAATTCGGCCAGTCCCCATGCATCAGCTCTAGCGTGAAGATGATTCAATCTTTTCTTGGAAAAGGAAATTCTTTTACCATACATTCCTGTCATACCGCGAACCCACTCCTCCACACCCTTACTACAAGCTGCTATGCCCCCTACCACACCTCCATCCTGCCCTACATCTCACCCCCTTACCACCACTTCCTGACACTCCTCCTTCTGAAGCCACACATTCCCGGATTTAAATCGTCGTTTGCAATTGACTCCGCATGTCGGAGTAAATCTAATAAGCAAGGCCAGATGATCACTAGAGGCCCCCTCCAAAGACTCCGATGCAGCCTCCCCAAAAAGATCCAACCAGTTTTCGGAAGACAAAATTCTATCTAACTTCTCTTCCACATACTTAATAGTGTAAATTGAAACGAGCAAGAAGACGAGTAACATATTTCTGTTGAGATAAAAATAAACCTATACAGGTACGAACAACCTCAATCCCCAAAAATATTAAAGATCACCCAGATCTTTCATTACAAAATGATTAGCAATGAGACAAATAAAGGAAGAATTGCCAGTAATGATAATGACAGAGCCAACCTAAGGATAGACAAATAATGAATCATCAGACGTATTGCATATAAAATTATGAATAAGCAAACAACTTCTAAACCTATAAAAATCAAGCCTATGGGGCTTTATTGAGGCCATAAATAGCCTCACGCAGTCGACAAATGAGTAGGAAACTGAGGATGATGAATAACAAAGCATTCCGGCTCAGCTAGTTGTGAGGTTACCGTGCCTAGTGGGAGGTCTCGAGTTCGAATCCCGCTAGACACACAAGGGTTAGAAACTCAATAGAGTGAGTATCAGTCCTGATTACTCCAGGCCCCCAACCCCCCTCCCCCAGACCCCCTAGAGTAAAAAAAGGATGAATAAAATCATGTGGTTGACACGTGTACACCTCTTTAGTAATGTGACCGTGAAGAAAGGCATTTTTGACATCCACCTGACGCAAAGCCCATCCAAAAAAAGCTAAAGTAAGAACAATACAAACTGTGGTGGGTTTAATAACATGATTAAAAGCCTCAGAAAAATCTACACCCTGCCTCCTGCTGGTTAAACGCCTAAGATACTAAACACGCTTTATGGCGCTTAATCGATACATCAGAATGATATTCAGTTTTATAAATCCACTTAGAGCCAACCACGTTTTAGAATTGTCAAACAATACCTACATTGGCCCATCGTCGTCGCAGAAAAGGTGGAGGCAGCCTAAGAAAAGGACACTGAGCTTGAGCCAGAAGCCATGGTGGCGATGACCGATGAAGGGATTCATGGTTGTGGCGATAGGGTTTAGAGAGAGAGAATTAAGGGGAAATTAGATATTTTCATGTACTTTGATACCATGTGAAATAATACAAAAGGTTACTCCAATAGAAGTTCGGACAAGTATATTTATAATTATAAAATATTTCTAAATAGATATTAGAAAAGGAAAGGGGAAACGGGAAAGAGGAAGAGAAAGGAAAAGAAAAAAGAAAAAGGAAAACATGGGATGAAATGTGGCAGCCACATGTATGATGTATGTGCACCACATCAAGCCACATCTGCGCTGCAATTCATGCGTCAGACCACATGTGCTCTCATCAGCAAGACACTTGCTAACTTACAAATTTTCCGTGAAAAATTAGTTTTGACGAAAGTTACATAGTAGGGGGTGGATGAAAGTTAAAGACTCGCCGTAGTTAGTAGGAGTGCAGATTTGATACTTTTATCATTCTAAATTATTTAAGAGAAATTCTTCTTGTACACGAAATGCAGACATATACGTTTTTACACTTGCATGTGAAGGCTATTTTTTGTCTGTGAAAACACTGTGCGCAATTAACACTGTCGGTTTGTCTGTGCACAGTGTTTTGACTGGCAAAAAGATAGCCTTACATATAAGAGTAAAAACGTGTATGTCTGTATTTGGTGTACAAAAGTTTTAATTTTATTTTTAATTATTTAATGGTGTTTAGAACGTTGAAGCCCCGTGTGAAACTTGATTGGAGAATGAGGAGTGTAATTAGGGAATATAGTTTATCTGTAAAGTTGGGCAAATCAAGAAGAGTTATGGGAGCTTCCAAAAAGGAAGTTAAACAAATTGTGCCCGCCTCCGCTGCTAAATGCGCAAGTAAAACAAAATAAATAATGAACATGTGTTATAAAATGGAAGGAAATAAGCAGAATGTCAGGGAGAGAAAGTATAGTCTCAATACTTAGTGAGAAAGATGTTATTAGAAGTGTGATAATGGTATGTTTACAATGAAGGAGAATGCTCCTATTTATAGGAGAAAATGTAATCATGTCTAGATCAGGAGCTAATTGTGAGCCATACAATTACCATCTAGAAATCATAATTATGAATTCTTATTTATATTAACAATGATGATAAGTGTTCCTGATCATGAATAGTTGGAAGATGACTATTCAATATATTTCAACACTCCCCCTTGAATGGTCATCTTCTAATTATTCTGGGGTATTAGTTTCATAGTATTATAATGTACTGTCTCGTTAAAAACCTTTGTCAAGAAAAACCCAGTGGGATAAAAACCTGACGAAGGGAAAAAGAGTGCAGTGCATTATATTACTCCCCCTCAATTTAACATATATCTCGAAGACGATACATTCCAATTTTATGGACCAGTTCTTCAAATTTCTTCGGTGCCAATGACTTTGTGAACAAATCAGCAGGGTTGTCGCATGACTTGATTTGTTTGACATCAACCGTTCCGTCTTTCTCAAGATCATGTGTGGAGAAAAGTTTTGGTGCTATATGCTTTGTTCTGTCCCCTTTGATGTAACCTCCTTTGATCTGAGCTATACATGCTGTATTATCTTCATAAATCACAGTAGGATTAGAAGTAAAAGATTTTATACCGCATTCATTTTGTATGTGCTGGATCATTGATCTCAACCAGACACACTCACGACCTGCTTCATAAAGAGCAATTAATTCTGCATGATTTGATGATGTTGCAGTTAATGTTTGCTTCATTGATCTCCATGATATAGCGGTATCACCATAGGTGAATAAATATCCTGTTTGTGATTTTGCCTTTTGTGGATCAGACAAGTATCCTGCATCCGCGTAGCCAATTAAAGTGGCATTTGCACCATTCTTGAAATACAATCCAAGATCGATTGTACCATTGAGATATCGGAATATATGTTTGACACCATTCCAATGCCTTCTTGTTGGGGAAGAACTGTACATGGCTAATAAATTTACAGAAAAAGCAATATCTGGTCGAGTATTATTAGCCAAATACATTAATGCTCCAATAGCACTCAAATATGGTATTTCGGGACCAAGAATTTCTTCATCATCTTCACAAGGTCGGAAAGGATCATCATGCACATTGAGAGATCGAACCACCATTGGAGAATTGAGCGGATGTGCTTTATCCATGTAAAATCGCTTCAAAAGTTTCTCGGTATAATTTGATTGGTGGATGAAAATACCATTTCTCAAATGTTCAATTTGAATGCCGAGACAAAATTTTGTTCTCCCAAGGTCTTTCATTTCAAATTCTTTCATGAGATATTTTGCAGTATTTTCAATTTCATTAGGAGTTCCGATTATATTCAAATCATCAACATATACTGCAATTATGGCGAATCCTGATTTGGATCGCTGAATGAAAACACATGGACTAATGGGATCATTTTTATACCCTTCTTTAATCAAATATTCACTGAGACGGTTATACCACATGCGTCCAGATTGTTTTAATCCATATAATGACTTTTGCAATTTTATGGAAAATAAATCTCGAGATTTCGAGCTATAAGCATCAGGTATTTTAAAGCCTCCAGGAATTCTCATATATATGTCTGTATCGAGTGAACCGTATAAATATGCGGTCACCACATCCATTAGGCGCATTTGCAGCCTTTCAAAAACAGACATGCCAATTAAAAATCTTAAAGTTGTAGCATCAACTACTGGAGAATACGTCTCATCATAATCGATTCCTGGCATTTGAGAAAAACCTTGGGCAACAAGTCGGGCTTTGTATCTAACGATTTCATTTTTCTCGTTGCGTTTACGCACAAAAACCCATTTAAAATCGACAGGTTTTACGCCTTTTGGCATATGGACAATTGGTCCAAAAACATTACGCTTTTCTAGCGATTTTAATTCTACCTGAATTGCTTCATTCCATTTTGGCCAATCATTTCTACGACGACATTCGTCAATAGATTTAGGCTCATTGTCATCGTGTTCATTCATTATATCTGTGGCGATGGCATATGAAAATATATCATTAACATCAATATCATTTCTATTCCATTGTATTCCATTAGAAACGTAATTAATTGAAATTTCAAAATTATCGACGTTTCTATCTTTATCTGGAATATTTACCTCTTCGAAGGTGATTGGATCCTCTTTTGAGGTATCATTATTATTGATGTTATCTTCAAGGCCGATATTTTCAAAATGTTCATTTTCTTCTTGAGAAGGTTGAACTTCTTTGGCATCACAAACTACAACTTGTTGTTTAAATTTTCTTGGTTTCAAATCTCTTGAACCAAGTGGTCTACCACGTTTTTTACGTATCATAGATTCATTAGCAAGTGTTCTTTCGCTAATCTCCGCAGGAATTTCTATTCGAGAAGGAGCATTCATAGCTGGAACATGTGACTTTGTCACTTTCTTTGAGTCTGTGAAAGCATCAGGCAATTGGTTTGCAACATTTTGTAAATGAATAATCTTTTGAATTTCTTGTTCACAAGCATTCGTGCGAGAATCAAGAAAAGATAAATTTGTTGCATTCCAAGTAATATCTTTCGTACGTGGGTCCATTTCTTGAATATCTCCCCCTAAGGCTGGGAATATTGTCTCATCAAAATGACAGTCATCGAACCGCGCGGTGAATAAGTCACCGGTCATAGGTTCTAGATAATTAATAATTGAGGGTGATTTAAAACCAACATAAATTCCCAGCCTTCTTTGAGGACCCATTTTAGTACGATAAGGTGGAGCAATTGGTACATACACAGAACAACCAAATATTTTTAGGTGTGATATATTTGGTTCTTTACCAGATATTAATTGTAATGGGGAAAATTTATGATATGCCGTTGGCCTAAGCCGAATTAAATTTGCAGCATGCATTATAGCATATCCCCATGCAGATGATGGTAATCTGGATTTCATCAATAATGGTCTAGCAATTAATTGTAATCGCTTAATTAAGGATTCGGCAAGACCATTTTGTGTATGTACATGTGGAACTGGATGTTCCACATCAATCCCAATTGACATGCAATAGTCATTAAAAGATTGGGATGTAAATTCTCCTGCATTATCAAGTCGGATTTTCTTTATCGAATAATCCGGAAATTGTGATCTCAAACGAATAATTTGAGCAAGGAGATTTGCAAATGCAAAATTTCTAGTCGATAAAAGACTGACATGTGACCAACGTGTTGATGCATCAATGAGCACCATAAAATATCGAAACGGTCCACACGGAGGGGTAATTGGCCCACAAATATCTCCTTGAATTCTTTCTAAAAATGCAGGAGATTCAACTCCAATTTTGTATAAAGATGGCCTGATAATTAATTTGCCAAGAGAACAGGCAGTGCACGGAAAATCACTTGATTGTGGAATCTTGACATTAGTTAATGAATGTCCACGTGAATTTTCAATAATTTTGTGCATCATAGTGCTGCCTGGATGACCTAAACGGTCATGCCACAAGATAAAGGAATTGTGGTCATAAATTTTAGATACCACATTTATCTCAATTGGACTGATATATGTATAATACAGTCCTGAGGAATATGCTGGCATTTTTTCAAAAATGTATTTATTGCCAGATCTATTTGTCGTTAGACATAAATATTCCTTCTGATTTTTAGACATGGTTTCAATATGAAAACCATTTAGACGCAAATCTTTAAAGCTCAAAAGATTTCTCCGTGATTTACTGGAGTATAAAGCGTCTTTAATTATTAATTTTGTCCCTTTTGGGAGAATCACACAGGCTATTCCAGAACCTTCAATGAGTTTAGCAACACCTGAGATTGTATTGACATTAGCATCAACTAATGTCATATGAGAAAAATAATCTCTATGTCTCAAAATGGTGTGCGTTGTGGCACTGTCTATTAGACATTGTTCAGAGCCACTTGAAGAAATTTTAGTTAACTCCATATCTTCGAAAAGATAAAAATGAACAAATATTAGTTCAATACTGTAATATAAACAGGGCTTTATTCATTAAAATGTACATCGAAATAAGCACACCAAATAAAAATTACAATACAAACAAACTTTTATTGTAGAATATATTACATAACAGAATTATTCCAAATTCCTTTTTATTTACTTATTTATTATTTTTCACCCATAATGATGTCGGTGTTCATCTCATTATCGTCCATATAGAAATCAGACACATTGAATGTGGGCATTGGTGGATCATTTTCGTTGACGTAATTAGTTTCCACATTCTTTCCTTTTAGAGATGATTTATATAAATCAATCAAGTGTCTAGGTGTACGACACTTATTTGCCCAATGTCCCGACGTGCCACACTTAAAGCAAGTGACTTTGGCCTTTTCTGAAGATTTCGTCGGGCTCTTTGTTTGATGGCGGTTTTGCTTACCCTTGCCTTTGTAAAATGAGCTACTACTCTGTTTGTTTCCCCGGCTAGGTCCATTATAACGACCAATACCACGACCACGTTTGAAATGTCCACGAGCACCACTATGGGTTGCATTTGATTCATGTTTTGAACCATGATTTGGTGGACCAAAACTAAGCGGGCTACAACCCGTGGGTCTCATATTGTGGTTTCTCATCAAAATGTCGGTATTCGTCTCAGCAAATAGTAATACTGATATCAAATCAGAATACTTTTGAAAATGCTTTTGTCTATATTGCTCTTGTAAAAGCACATTTGAAACATGCATAGTGGACAAAGTTTTCTCCAACATTTCAGCATCAGTGACTTCTTGTCCGCATAACTTTAGTTTTGATGTTATTTGGAACAAAGCAGAATTGTAGTCACTTACAGATTTGTAATCCTGGAATCGTAAATTGATCCAGTCATATTGAGCTTTTGGTAAAAGGACCTTTTGTTGATGGCCATACCTTTCTTGGAGATTATCCCATAATTCTTTAGGGTCATCTACCAATAAATACTCAGATTTCAAACTTTCATGAAGATGATGCCGAAGAAAGATGATGGCTTTTGCCTTATTTTGGGGAGTGGCTGAATTATTTTCAGCTATTGTATTTTCAAGGGCATTTGCTTTTAAATGTGCCAAAGCGTCGACTTTCCATTCCAAATACTTTTGGCCAGATAAATCAAGGACGTCGAACTCTCTTTTACTAATATGTGCCATAATCTATTACACAAATTATAAATTTAGTTTTAATTAGTAGGAGTAAATATATATATATATATATATATATATATATATATATACACACACACACACACGCGTAGTATTACATTAAATAATAAGACGTAAACAATATTCTTCTCTAAAATCGAGTTGAACGTATCTCATGATATTTTAATCAATAAATATTGATTTTATGTAGTACATCTTTAATTAACTACATATAGTATTGCTAAAATTATTTTTGTAAAGTTACGGTCACTGACTAGTAGTCTATAATTTTAACTGTTGGACATTATTATAATTATTTATGACAGAGCATATATATGTATATATATACGAAGTATATTTATATTGATTAATAATCCGATATATGAAAAAAAATGGGTGGTCCGTGACTTTCTTACAAAAGTTTACCGAAGTTTATATTTCAATTGACAAATTCCTTTTAATTAATATATACAAAAAGTATTCTGAATTAAATGTATGGTTCAGATCATTATTGAATATATAAAACAAAATTCATTGTGCAGATGACCTGCTACGTACCATGCATTTCTATTCATACATCATCCACTTTTTGTTTGTTTATGAAATTTAATCATCAGTATACATTATTTGATAATTTTTAGACTTGTATGTGAATAAGCACCATTCTATTATATTCCCGTGACTTCTTGGCAGATTGGTAGATATATAATACTCCACTACGCATTAAATATGCGGTATCAGAAAACACATGCAATGTTGGTGAAAATTTAATATAAGAAAACAAAACAGTCTGTCAAAGCCATGCTGACCAAAATAAATAACGATCCATTTAGATCCTCTTGCTCGGTATATATAAACGAGAACATCCTTAAGAAATTATCCTTTTAGTTGCGATCTATTTTAGTGTATTCCAGAAGTCTTTACAAGTAGATAAAGATAGTTTACAAATTTATCTTACTTTGTATTTAAACTCCGTTTTATTTAAATATGAGTATAGTCAAAGATTTATGGAGTATAAACGATTTATTGAAAGAATAGCAGTTTTCACGTATTATCAGTTCTTCAAAGAAGTTCGAGTATTCAACAAGAGGTATGTACTTCTTCAATTTATTTTCTTTTCAATCTGATTTGCCCATAAAATCATTATGAAATATGTTGAATATTTGTCTGGTTAACTGACTTATTTACTTCACTCTATTTCATCTTCCCTATTTCGTAAGATTTATATACGGGGCATATAATATTTCGTATTTTGGAAGAAAATGTCAAGAGAAAAGAAAAATTTATTTCTTTCTTCCATCAGCTTATATTTCTTTTATATAGAATATAGCTATAATTTTCTGATATGGAGGATCCCAATTGTTGGGCAACCATAGAGCATACTTCTTATAGTTTTGAATATATATAAACATGTTCACACTATTAAACTTCTGATTTTCTTTTCAGATGATGAATTGATAAATTTCTGGAAATATATACCTGCTAGGAAGATGATGATTTCAAGGATGTGGAGCAAATTCGTGCTGATAACGTGTTATAAAATGGAAGGAAATAAGCAGAAGGTCAGGGAGAGAAAGTATAGTCTCAATACTTAGTGAGAAAGATGTTATTAGAAGTGTGATAATGGTATGTTTACAATGAAGGAGAATGCTCCTATTTATAGGAGAAAATGTAATCATGTCTAGATCAGGGGCTAATTGTGAGCCATACAATTACCATCTAGAAATCATAATTATGAATTCTTATTTATATTAACAATGATGATAAGTGTTCCTGATCATGAATAGTTGGAAGATGACTATTCAATATATTTCAACAACATGTCATTTATTCTCGATCAGCTCTTTCTGGATAATCATGCACCTAGCGAAGAGAGAGAGAGAGAGAGAGAGAGAGAGAGAGTGTGTGTGTGTGTGTATATATATATATATATATATATATACAGAAATGCTCAGGTCCCTCCGGAGGGACGGGAGCAGCCGTCCGAACTTCACTGTTTGGGGCGGTTCCCGGTGGAATTTTCCAATGAAATTTTTTGAGCATGTTGCTCATCAAGTCTAGTTTGTCCATACCAAATTTCAGCTCAAAATTCGACAGGGAAGGCAGTCAAATAAATTCTTGAAGCTTACTGCACATTCTGCGCATATATAAAGTGCAGTAAGTTTCAAGAATTTATTTGACTGCCTTCCCGGTCGAATTTTGAGCTGAAATTTGGTATGGACAAACTAGACTTGATGAGGAACATGCTCAAAAAATTTCATCGAAAAATTCCACCGGTAACCGCCCCAAAAAGTAAAGTTCGGACGGCTGCTCCCGTCCCTCTGGCTGGACCTTAGCAGTCCTCTCTCTCTCTCTCTCTATATATATATATATAATAGTGAAGGGGTCTGCAAATGTACGCACATAATTAATAAGCTAAGATAAGATGTCATCATCCATATCACAAGGTGGTGGTGTAATAATCGGAGCTTGCAAAGGTGTTCTACTCTTATGCCCACTGCTTTTCTTGACTCCTATATTGTCGCTTCCCCGTGATAATGTATCCATTCATCATCTGTAACACCCCGATCCCGCAGGACCCTAGGTAGTTACTCCAGACCTCTAGTACTGTCCCCACAAACCACCACGAGCCTTTACCGCGCACTTTGTCCTCACTCATGCGCGCCCTGAGAAACTTCCCAGGTCGCGCATCACGAGCCCCGGCCTGGGATGTCCTCACCCATCCCAAGACTACTCCCGAGCAAGCACGCTTAACTTTGGAATTCTTAGGTAATGAGCTCCCTTAAAAGGAGATGCACATCTGTTGGTATGAGTAGTACTATTAATCCGTTTATATTAAATCTCAAGTGTTACAATCACCCCCACTTAGGATCGCAACGTCCTCGCTGTGCCCTTGAACCAATCTCAAATCTCAATCAAATCCCAGAATCTTCCCCCGCTAAGTGCCCACCCGATATCCAACGGGTCATCACACTGTCGCGGGGTTTCTCTGATACCACTTGTAACACCCCGGCCCCGCAGGACCCTAGGTAGTTACTCCAGACCTCTAGTACTGTCCCACAAATCACCACGAGCCTTTACCGCGCACTTTGTCCTCACTCATGCGCGCCCTGAGAAACTTCCCAGGAGGTCACCCATCCCAAGACTACTCCCGAGCAAGCACACTTAACTTTGGAGTTCTTAGGTAATGAGCTCCCTTAAAAGGAGATGCACCTCTGTTGATATGAGTAGTACTATTAATCCGTTTATATTAAATCGCAAGTGTTACATCATCAATTGCCTGCCGCAGTGAGATCATTAGATGGTCTTCCTCCCAGTCCCACCAACCTAAGCCAACTGTTGTTTGGGATTCTGGGATCAGAGAAGGCGTGGCACCACAGAAAGGCATACGTCCAGTCATGGTCCCAACTACTGGCATCCTTCTACTCGACGAGCACCCCTCGCCCCAACTACTCCCCTGGTCCCCCTCCTCTCCACCTTTTAGGTATGTACATATGTAATTTCAAGGGTGATTTCCCAAAGCACGGGAAAATGTTACATACTCCAGTCGGAAGTGGGAGATCCGACTGGAGATAGGGTTGGTTTAATTCTTTACAAAACTCCAGTCGGAAGTGGGGAATCCGACCACAGGTAAGATTTATTTTTAAAAAATGGAATCATTTTTTTTATTTGCACATCCGACTAGAGTTTTTATTTATTTATTTTATAATTGCTCAATTGTTATATTTTGAATAAATAATGTTTGTAAATAATTTCGAAATATGATCACGATTAAAAAAACGAATAATGATCACAAAAAATAATTTCAAATAAAAAATTTCGAAATCAAGCGGGTGATTATCTTTATCTGATTAAATTTTATCTGATTATATTTATTTGATTAAATTTATCTGATTAAATTTATTTGATACATTTAATCGAAGCACTTTTTTCTTAAACACTACCAACTTTCACTATTCAACACTTTTTTTTCAAAATCACTTAAAAAAACACTTTATTAAAGTAGAAGCAATCGGAAACACTCTTTAAATATTGTGTCAAAAGTAGACTAAGTTATTTTAACATTATAAAGTTTAAATACAAGAAAAAACGGAGTTGAGAACTTCTCTCTAAAACTTCGGTCCTCCTAGGGCTCAGCCGCTAGGTTAATTTTTCGATTTCGGCCTTCGGCCGGTGATCAGGTTTGTAGACGAGGAAGGTCAAGGTAGGCGGCGGGGAAGTAAGGCCAGGCAGCGAACTTTGGTTTCGATAGGACCGAGGAATTGCATCGGAACAGGGAGATCGCTGGCCGAAGGTTCCGGTGCATGGAGGACATAGTAGCATCATACAAAAGAATGTCGATGACAGAGCAGGGCAACGAGTTGAACTTCGACGAGGAACCTGACGAGGAAGCCATGATGGAGAGTGAACCGGTGGCTCATCCGGTGGTCGCGGTGGTCATCACAGACCGAAAGATTAAACTACCTGGGTTTCAAAAATTGATGTCTTCCCCTTGGAAGCCAGGTAAAGGTATGACTATCAAAGAAATCGGCAAACGAAGGTACTTGCTAAACTTTAATCACGTTTTGGATATGAATCGTGTGATTGAGGATGGTCATTGGTTGTTTGAGCGTGATATAATACTGCTAAAAGCTATCCAACCGGATGATATACCTGAATCAATGAATTTATTTGAAGCAAGTTTCTGGGTACAGGTGCATAATGCTCCTTTTAAGTATAGGAATATGAGATCTGCCAGGAAAATTGGTAATTTTTTAGGTTCTTTTATTAAGTTTGAGATGAGCCAGTTTGAGGGTAGGCAGAATTCCTATCTTTGGATAAGGGTATGTTTGGATGTTCGTCAGCCCTTGCAAAAAGGTACAAATTTGACACGGGATGGGGTGAAGCACTGGGTAGATTTCAAATATGAGAAGCTAACCAGTTTCTGCTTTATTTGTGGTATTATTGGGCATTCTGACAAGTTTTGTCCATTAAAATATGAAGAGGGTTTTGTCGCTGAAAAAATGTATGGGGCGAGTCTCAGAGCAGGAGGAAGGGTAAAGACTAGCCCGACAGGATTCTATAAATGGTTATCTGATGGAGCCTCTAGCTCAGATGGGTATGGAAGTCAGCGGAAGTCTGATCTCGGTAGGGAGCAGACGGCCGAATCCAAGAATGAGGAAGAGGAAAAAGAGGAAGCCCAGGAGACACAAAAAGAAGGCGAATTTGGGAAGACTCGGATAAAGAAAATGGTGAGGGTGAAGGCATGGCTCTAGATGGATCAAAAATGGGGCGGCGGCGGGTCAAGCTTTCTAGGCCCGCCGAGATTCCGTGTTATGGTGCTGGTGGTTAAGACCAAGGATGGTGTTATTTTCTTTTTTGTTCTGTTTGCTGTTTTTGGAATTCAGTTGTTATGTCTTATTTTATCTATTTTATGTTTTGTAAGATTCTTGCATTAGGTTGGGGTTGTGAAAGTTCTGCGGTAATCGTCATTGGCTCACAATTGCCCAATCTCGGTCTAGCGAGTTATACTGCTTTTGTACAGGTGGTTAACTCTCAGTCTCGGCCACGAGCAGACGATTACTTGCGGTTCTTTTATTATCTTGTGCCCTTTCTGAATGCTACTTTCATTGACATGAATTAAGCCACTTTCGATAAAAAAAAATTGTGTCAAAAATCTAATGTAATGATCTTTTAAATACAAGTATTAGGGAGACTTAATTATTATTGTTTTTGACGTTTTAATTATAAGTCTTATAACACTTAGAGCCCGTTTGGTAGCACGAAAATTGACTGATTTGTCTGATTAGATTTATCTGATTAAGATTTATAAGATTAAATTTATCTGATTAAGATTTATAAGATTAAAATTTATCTGATTAAATTTATCATCAGAAATTTGTTTGATTAGATTTATCTGATTAAGATTTATAAGATTAAAATTTATCTGATTAAATTTATCTGAAGAAATTGATCTAATTGGATTTATCTGATTAAAATTGAACACATATATAAATATTATACTTTGACCCAAATTTTTGGCTTTTATTGTTCGGTCTTTAATTTGTAAAAGAAAAAAAGAGGATCTAACTAGTCGGATATACCAATTCCGACGGGAGGAAAAACGAATTAAGCATTTACCAATTCCGACAGGAGCTATCCAACAAAAATATAACCCTAGCCCCTGGTCAGAACACCCAATTCCGACTCCCGCATTTTGGCGTGTTAGACCAAAAAGTCCCGTATTTTGGTAATTTCCTCTAATTTCAAGCTAGCTAGCTAGCTAGCTAGCTAGGTTACTTCCCCTGATATTGTTCCTTCCATATATGTTTAGTTGATAAAATATAAATAAACCAACAATAAATTATAATCAATCCAATATGAGATCATTTTTTTGGTATCATGTCAGTCCCAAGCCAGGATTAAAGAGGAGAGTATTGTCGTAGGCGCGTGACAGCCAACAGTATTACTTTGTCATGGATCGAATTATCCTATATATATATAAACATTATTTTTATCATTTTATTCTACCATTTTTAGGTTTATTCATCGTTTTTTATATTATCTTTTTCTAATAGCTTATCTTTTTTTATCTTTATTTTCTTTCTTTTCCTTTTGGTGGTGATATCATGTATCGATTCATGTTAGCCGAACACAATATCTTTTGGGACTAAGACCTACTTGGATGTTGTTGTTGTTGTATGAGACAAAATTAGTAACACGCACTAAGAGATAAAATGGGACATAGGGGACGGAGGCCTCGAGTATTTTTCTTATCCAATATACTCACTTCGTCCCAAAACTATTTTCTTTTTTCGTCCGTCTCAGCATGAAGTCTTTTTCCCCTTTTAGCAAAAAATTGTGGTTCACAACGTTTATCCCCACATTCTCTCTTCTTAGCACAACTTTAGGCCACACTTTTCTCATTTTCTTGATCCGAGTGAAAGTTTTTTTCAACCCTAGCCTCTAGTATGCATCAAATTTTGCGGATTTTTACGTTTAGTTAGTGCTGATTTTTCAGAATTGAAGTCATAACTTTTTAATTATTCGTAATGAGTTACGAGGGCCATAATATGTCAAATCGAAGATATTTCAAGACTCTATGTTCTCAAACTTTCAGCGGGGTTGGATGAACTCAAGGTTGAAGATGTTAGAAAAATGATATTAAAATGCGAGTTTATATAACCAGATAAAAATCCCGAGTTTAAATCAAATCACCAGACAAACCGCCAAATGCAAGAACAATAATAATAATAATTAGAATAAATTAAAATGAATAAAGAGAAAAGATAAGAAAGCTTATCGCAGGATCGCCCGTTAAGACGGATTGGCCTTGAAGAAAGATAGCCCCGTATCCCGATAGCTATTCGGGCGGGTCTGGCTAGCTCGCTCCCAGGATAATCCTACTCCGTTTCAGACTTGTAGCTACCTTGACTGAAACCTTCGACCGTTGCCCAATATGTCGTTGACTCGTTAAGAAGATGATAACCTTTTGGAACAAAACTATGGTTTCAAATGCTCTCGCACAAGCCAGATATTTCACTCACTCGTACGTAGAATATATCAGCCGAAGAAGAAATAGAGTAAGGCTATTTCCTCGGTTATACGTTATCACAAATAAATGATGGGAATTGAAGAGGAATATTAAAAAGCATTTATGTTCATACGTTGAGACTTAGAACAAAAGGGGCATGTGGGTTATCCTTTTAATTTTTGGAAATCAGATTATTGATACATAATACATGCACCAAAGCAAATTTCTGATCCTACAAGTCAGCAGCCACGAGCCCACTTCCTATAGATCAGGATCATCCAACAGCTTTGACCAGGCTGATAAGACATTCAAATTTCAAGTTTTTGAAACATCTGAAATCAGCCGATTGAATGTGGCTTATACTCCGTATGTTTTTATTACTCTGAATAAAAACGGCAGAATTTTATCTTAATTAAATGGCCGCCCAACTTAAAATATCAGCCGAAACGATCTTAATCTTTACTCATTCAGTACTGTATGTCCGAATGAATTAACAAGTTCGTATGAGATAATATTTTAAGTCTCATTAAAAGTTCCACCAAATAAAATTACAACTTTATTTAATTTAAAAGACAACTCATAACCCTCCCTAACTAGAATGGAACCACTAACGATGTTCCTTCTAATTTCGGGAACGTGATGCACTCCATGCAAAGATAGAATTTTTCCCGAAGGGAATTTTATTTCTACTTTTCCAATTCCTTGCACACTTGCAGCACTTGTGTTCCTCATCATCACTGTTCTTCCAACCACAGGCTGATAAGAAACAAAGAGCGATTTGTCAGCACATACATGCACATTCGCTCCTGTATCTATTAGCCACTCATTGGAATTATAAAGGGAGAATTCCCTAAATGGGAGTAAATTAATCATTAATTGCCCAAATAGGACTAAAGTTTAAAAATTCCTTAAATAGGAGTTATTAATTGTATTTGGACAAAGATGCCCTTGAAGCTTGGTAACATGTTGCAACAGACACAAGCCGGACCATTGCCACTCGCAGGGCCACCTCCGCTTGCCGGCCGCCGCTTGCCAGCCACCTCCGCTCGTCGGCCACCGCCACTCGCCGGCAACCGCCTCGACCTAAAAAATGGCTACCATTGCAGATGTAGCCGCCGCCACTGCAGATCAGGTCGCCGGAGCCGTAGATCTGGCCGCCTCTAGCCGCCGAATGCTGCCCCTACAAATCAGACCGCCGCTGCTACCGATCCGGTGTCCGACACTGCAGATCCGGTCTCAGCTGCCGCATCTCTGGCCGCAACCACCGTTGTTGCCAACATTTATCTCAGAATGCCATAATCAATCGAGAATGCCATTTGAATGGCATTTTGAAAGGGAAACACAATTTTTTTAGAGAGCAATAATGCCAATTTTATGGCATTTGCAGAATAAATTTGGCATTAACGTGTAAAGAAGAAACCGACCAAGCATTGGACCTGCAACAAAAACTGAAGAGGGGAAGAGAGAAAAACAGTAGAGGAGGAGGAAGGAGGGGGAACAACAAGCCTCATTACTTCGGCAACAAATCTTGATCAGATTTGCTATTCACACCCTCTCTGCTAACCCTTGCTCACCTCTCTTGCTCGCCGCCAGCCAATGGTCGCCGGAGTTGTTCACCACTTCCAGAAATTCGTTGTTGCAGGTTTTCAGTCGGAGAAGATGAGCGGAAAAGAAAACTCATCATCTTGCAATCTGAAATATGAGTAGATCGGAGAAGATAGTTGATGCACAGAGAATTATTTAAAATTTGAAGAAGAAAAATAGATCTGGATCTGCCAAGAAGAGAAGGCGGTGTACTGATGCGTGGAAAGGAGAGGCTCATGTGCGAAGGTTGGAAGCCGAGCGAGTAAAAGGGGTAAAAGTGGAACAGTAATCCTATTTGAGAATAAAAATATATCTACTCCTATTTTGGAATTTACACAATAATTTAGTCCTATTTTGGACAATAATTCCAATTATAAATAGTGAAAATTTGAGGATTAATAGAAACGTACCCATTAGAACTAGTCCCCCCAGTCACCATGTTGACTTGAGGTCCCCTAGATTGAGCCTTGGCCTTTTTATTTGGACATAATTTGGACCAATGCCCCATTTGTCCACAGTTCCAGCATGGTCGATTTGCCTTTGGTTTCTTTGCAATTTTTAATTTGGCCTTTATTGATTTAAAAGATGATGGTTGCTTATTTTTACAGTTATGTGCTTGCTTTCCCCCAGTTATAACATGAGCCTTCGGTTGAAATTCAACAGGCGCAATATAACCCACTTTCTTATGTTCCTCCTCAACCGTAATGGAATGCATCAAAGATTTCCAAGTGACCTTTTTTATTTTATGTTTTAAAGTCATACCAAAATCTTCCCATGATTTGGGAAATTTTTCTATGACCGCCATCACTTTAAAATTTTCAGGCAATTCCATGTCCGCTTCACGAAGAGAATGTAAGATAAGCTCGAATTCTTGTGTCTGTTCTAAAACCGATTTTCCTTCTTTCATATCAAATCGTAGGAATTTAGAAACAATATATTTTTCAAGTCCGTGGTCATCAGTATTATATTTTCTATCCAACTCATCTCAAAGGTCTTTGGCAGTCCCATGGAGGGTGCAATAGACATCAAATAACATGTCGGATAGACCCATGAGAATCATGCCTTTTGCAATTTCATCCCTCTCAAGCCAAATTCCATGACATTCAAGACTTTTGGGATCAGATTCGACAACCGGAGGACACACCGTCATAATCACTGAAAGCAAGCCCTTGGTGATTAACCAAATTTTCATGCGTTGTTGCCAACGCTTGAAGCTACTCCGTTTCAGGCTTGTAGCTACCTTGACTGAAACCTTCGACCGTTGCCCAATATGTCGTTGACTCGTTAAGAAGATGATAACCTTTTGGAACAAAACTATGGTTTCAAATGCTCTCGCACAAGCCAGATATTTCACTCACTCATACGTAGAATATATCAGCCGAAGAAGAAATAGAGTAAGGCTATTTCCTCGGTTATACGTTATCACAAATAAATGATGGGAATTGAAGAGGAATATTAAAAAGCATTTATGTTCATACGTTGAGACTTAGAACAAAAGGGGCATGTGGGTTATCCTTTTAATTTTTGGAAATCAGATTATTGATACATAATACATGCACCAAAGCAAATTTCTGATCCTACAAGTCAGCAGCCACGAGCCCACTTCCTATAGATCAGGATCATCCAACAGCTTTGACCAGGCTGATAAGACATTCAAATTTCAAGTTTTTGAAACATCTGAAATCAGCCGATTGAATGTGGCTTATACTCCGTATGTTTTTATTACTCTGAATAAAAACGGCAGAATTTTATCTTAATTAAATGGCCGCCCAACTTAAAATATCAGCCGAAACGATCTTAATCTTTACTCATTCAGTACTGTATGTCCGAATGAATTAACAAGTTCGTATGAGATAATATTTTAAGTCTCATATATGCAGGGGAGGATCTATATACAGGTTATGCTAGGCTGAAGTCCATGGCAACTTAGAAATTTTTCAATTTTTTTAGTGTAAATTTTTTCATTTTTTACAATTAGCCCACCCCGCTAATATTTGACTCTAGTATAATTCCTATTCAGCCCAGGGCGTCTCAGATTCCTGGATCCGCCCCTGCATATATGATACTTGAATACTATTCGTCATCATATAACATTTTAAAATGACCATAATTTAAAATTAAGATATAAATTCATCATATCAATACACCACTTCTATAACATTTACAACTATGGATTCTAACTATTAAAAGAAAGAAATCCAATATAAAGTTATACTTTGATGTATAATAAGCCACGTTCACCTCGTATTATATATTTACACATCATGGGACTCTTAAAAGAGATCATAAAATTATTTAATATCATAATATTTCCAGAAGATCTTTGAAGACCGTGTGCAGTGAATAATTTGTACTCAATGTCGTGAAAATTAGAATGAATTGGACGTGTCGATCTTATTCCATCCGTGATGCTTAAATACAAGTTGGGAATATCCTATTTCTATCTTTCGATGAGACAATTATCTATTTTAATTTACGTCACATATCGTAACACAATGATCTCAAATGGATTAAAAGTATCACTCATATCGACAATGTGCACATTCTTTTAAGAAGCTCATCTATTGAGAATTCCTCATTTAAACATGCTTGTACGATATTGATTTTAGAATAGGAGTCCTCTTGGAAGTTTCTTAGGGCTCACGGGTAAATTCATACTGTAACCTAATCATTGATTTTAGAATAGGAGTCCTCTTGGAAGTTTCTTAGGGCTCACGGGTAAATTCATACTGTAACGTAATCACTTACAGATTGATATGCACGGTGACATATCGGGATTCCTATCATATCACCCAAATGCACCGCTAATATCACTCCACCATTTCGACTATGTGAAGCCGATCTTCCCATCAATGGATAGGGCCCAATCAGTCCGCCATCTCATGAATGTTGCAACTTGCAAGTCTCGACCAAACTCGGATGCTCCAACAACTCCTTTGCTTTCACAGGTATTAAATATCTACAATAAAACTAGCTATATTTGTTTTACCCCAGGGTCAACGAGAGCGGGCTGGAGAAGTCTGGGGTAAATTAAACAGGGTTGAAACTCATTGAGTTTTGAACTCGAAACCACCCGTATGGGAGAGTGAGTCGGTGACAAGCTGAGTTGGGCCTCTCTCTAAAATTAGCTATATATATGTAATTACATCATATTCCGCACTCCAATTGCGTTAGAGAAAATTAGGATGTGTTGTTTAATTTTGTTGGTTTTCAAACCAAAACAAGACCAAACCCGATCAAATTTTATCAAACTTTGACAATTGTATAATATGCAACGAACGTTCTAAAGGCGCTAGGTGCTAGTCGGGCGCCAGCCCAGTGCCTAGTGCCTAGGCGGCTAGGCGGGCGCCTAGTCGGGAACTGGTTGGAGACATAGAAATTGCATTTTTATCTATATTTTTGCATATATATGATAAGTAATATTGTATTATTTTGAGTATAAAATACATATATGCATATACATTAACAATATGAATGATAGAATTATAAAATTTAATTATACATAGTATATGATAACTAATCACTTAATTTCAT